GATTTCTTGATTTTAAAATGTATCCAGATGGCTGTCGAGAGCCAATGCCTTAGCTGACATATACTGCGTTCCCTCCAAAGCTGCCAGACAAGTTACACCAAGAGAAGGTATGTATGTGCACTAAATGACTAAACAGGAGAATGTTAAACATTTGTATTCAGTCTTCTTCAATTTCTCACCTGAACTGAGCTACAGATCTCACAACTATTCACCCTACCAGTGGCTTCTGCTTATGTATTTCCGTTTTGAGTTGGATCAGAGCAGGCTATTCCCGCAGTAGGTGTGGACTGTTTTTACACTGAGACACAATATCTCCTTCCCTCTCTCCCTCTTTCTACTGTAAGTTCAAAAGGCTAAAAGGTGAGATGGAAATTGCAGCAATTCAGAAAATCTGGGAAAGCTCTTGTGCAGTGAGCACATCGTTTCAGAGGCACATATGTCTGTTAAGCCTTGTCTAAGGAATTGCACCGTGTGCTGACTCATGGACTGTATCAGCCGGCTCCCACCCCCACAACTCCCAAACACAAACCTACTTGAAACACAGATCTGTTGGCCACCGGCTGTTTATAATAAATCTTTTGCCTGACAAATGAGTAAACATTCGGAAAAAGAGTTACAGCTCAACTACTGATATCAACGGCCTTAGGGAGTAAAATACTATATGGGATGGTGAGGCTATTTCTGCCTTAGGTTCCCTAAGCCTTGCTGACCAAGTGCTAGTGCTAGTGCTAGTGCTAGTGCTTTTAACTTACCTGACTCACCTATGTGCCCCACCTGAAAGCTTCTAGGGGATCAGGCAATAAAATGAACATTGCACTATCAGTGAGAGAGGTGTTGTTATTAAAGGAGGTACTAGTTGCTACTTCCTTGCTGTTTGGGGACCAAACAAATTTATTTTTGTTTCCTTTCTATAAATATTTGAATGTCTTAAGGAAACAAACGTGGCTGAATCAAACTCGCTTTTAATCAAGATTTTACTTTCTGAAAACTGCTCGTAAGAGCTTAATGCCACTCAGTGCACAAATCTGTGGTATGTAGCACCTTATCTCAACAGAAAGTACATGCACTAACGGCTTATAAAATTCAAGTATTCTTCTTAGTTTGTAGGATTAACAATCCCTTCATCCAGCAGCAATCCTGGATCTGCTTTTCTCATGTATGAGAACAATATCGAGCTGTTCTGCTAGATTCTTTGCTGCCTTTTTCCTCCCACAAAGTTTTGAAGAATGTCGCTCAAGATTATGAGATGTTTCACATTCTTCAGCTGCTGAAATTTGACACTGTTAATCTCTACAGCAAGACCTTTCGGCAGTTAGTTCCCTCTGCAGAGCTCTCAGATCGTCCCACTGAAATATTATGTGAAATATAGCTAAACATGCCAGGGAGAGGGCCACCTTTGAAGGAAAATCTCACTAAGAAGTTCAGTATAACATGCTGGCGACAGGCACTTCAAAAAACAGATCTATAAGTTAAAGCTGACTTATGCATACATGTCTTGCTGTTCACTTTGTCTTAGAAGGAAGCAAATCCATTAAAAATATAAAGAAGTTCAGCTTAGAATAAAATAAATATTTGCATACCTTTTTATAGGCAGGCTGCTCTTCTGAAAGAAAGTGAGATATTCTTGTTATTGCGTCAGAAAGTAAGCAATCTGATTTGTTAAGAGGAATATAATGCGTAAACGTAGACATTGGCTAATTACTCTTCTATTATGGAGAAAGGAGCAGATTCATTTGACATCCAGAATGTTTTCTGTATTTGACTGATAGGGAAAAAAAGCTTTTGGTCTGTGGCACAAAACTAACGAGGTAGTAAAGTGAAACATGTGCTTAAGTGCTCTGCATGAGGATACAGTCAAACTATATTTGTTTGTGCAAGTAATGCAAGGCCAAGAGAGGTCTGCGGGCTTTTCTCCTAGCAGCAAAGCTGGCTTATGTGGTTCCTTTTGCTTTGTCCTTGGACTAATATGGGATGGCTGAGCAGCAGTTTGCAACCACAGAAAGGTGAGAAAGCATGGCCAAGCATAGGAATGGACTAAGCCGACTTGGTCTCCAAGAGGCGTGGCTGGAGCCATGGTCTCTTGTTGAACTGGAAGGACAAATCTGCCTTCCTGATGAGATCAGAAATTAGTCTTTTATGGGAATGGAGCACAGGTCAGGTTGCAGTTCTGGTTAAGAACAGTGGATTTTTTTATGCAGTGGGCCATGACTGAACGTGCAAGGCTGAAAAAGAAGTTGCATCATCTTGTCCTCCTTACCTGGACACCTTCCTGCTGCATAGGGCTGGGATGGGGAAGTCTCACAGGCAGAGTAGCAGAGCTGGTTTTCCATAAGTGTTGAAGTGTCACTTCTTGACTCCCATTGCTGAGAGGATCTTTTTGGCTTGGTAGCTTTGATCTGGGGTCAGCAGACTCCGGATCTGCTGTGGTTGTTTCAGTCTTTGCTTTGGAAGACAGTAATTTTGCATGGACACAGGAAGGTAAAGACAGTGAGGAAGATTTAGTGCACCTTGGTGGACTTTTGCAAATATGATGCAGAGAGCCAGTGTATTCCTTTTGAATCCCCAGCTGAGCTGTGTCAGAGCTCGTGAGAGCTCTGTCCTGAAATGACAGTGTTTGTGAGGCAGAGGCCATCCTTAGACGCCTTAAAGTCGGAGAGGTGGAAATTCTGGCCAGAGCATGCCGGTCAAACTGGAAAGGTGCATGGTGGTTCTCATCGTGCTCCTCTGTGGGAAGCTTCAGGAAAAGTGAGGACTCCATGTAACTTCTTGGGTGGATGCAGTCACCTGGGGGCATAGTGACATCCATACAAACTGATATCTCCTGTGTTTCACAGAGACTGAAGACGGCATCTTCTGGGCTGCTGCTTCCAGACAAATCTTCACAAAGCTCAGTTTCCTCATTTAGAAGTGCCACGTTGATGTACCTTTCTTTGCTCAGGTCCAGAGAATAATGAGAACTTGGTTGCTGCATTCCTTATTTGCAGCATAAAGATTTATAGCTGTGTATGCATAAAAACATTATCAGAAAAGGATCTTAGAAACTTGTTGTATGCATTTTTATTTAATATGGGAGCATATGCAAATGGAAAAAAATCTAAATAAAATAACATAGATATATGGACTAGTACAGAAACATAGCATGCAAGTTGAATCCTTCTTAAAATAAGAGTTTCAGCTTCAGGACCCTATCTCAGCAAGCTCTTTAAACAGTTGCTAGCTTTGAGTGTGCAAGCAGTGTCAATGTTGTATGGTAGAACTAATTACATGATAAAGACTAGTCATGTAACTAAGAACTTTGCTAACCTGATGTTGCAGCCACCTAACTTCTTGCTGCCACTCCCCCATCAATAAAAGAGATTGTGACACTACTGTACATGGGATGTAAGTGAAGCCATTAGCTGTCGGGTGTCCTACTGGTTGCTAAATGGTTTATGTTCAAATAATAATTACTTGCTGCAAGCTTAAGGAAATACAATCTAACATTTATTTAAGGTGAGTCTACTCACTGTCATTTTTGTTTTCAGTAGGACAAGCATATTGTAATAAATATTATGTCAATTGACTAATGAAGACAGTTTATAAAAGTAACTTGACAGTTTATAAAAGTAACTTACCTGCTGATTGATTAGTAAATAATATTACGTTCTATGATTCATTAAGCTCTATTTTTAAGGTACATTAACGGCAAGTCTCTCTAAAACTGGACAGAGAGTACAAGGTATAACTCATGATTGTTAATTCAAAAATAAGCCTCTTTTGCTAACAGGAATCTTAGAAATGGTCATAACTCCTGGCTTCTCTGGGCACTTTTATTTACTAGCATGGATTTATTCAAACATATGTTGACTTTTTCTTGAGTTGCTGCAATTTATATTTTGAGTAGTTTTGAAGTCCCATGAGACTGATTTATCAAGTTATTAAAAACAAATGCTTTCTTCAAGTTTGCAACTTCATAATATTGCTTTTTACAGACCTTTTCAGCCAGCAGAACACAATCATTCAAATGTTTTCAGGAAGAAAATACAGAGATGACTTTGTGATAGGAATAACGTCTTTCAGAACTAGTGAATGGGCACAGATATGTTAGCATCTATTAATTCTTCTTTAATAGATAAAGTGTAAAAAAGCATGTGCTCATTAAAATGGATATTTGCTAAAATTCACATGATTGATATATTGTGAATGACAATAATGAGAAATTATTACTATTTCCTACTTCTGAGCAAAGATATGATTGCATACTCTTGCTGTGAGATTTCCTAGTATTGGCTGGTGGCCCTTTTAAGATTTCTATTCTGCTACATTCTAAGCTACATAATGAAATAAAAAGATTGATCATTGTTTAATGAAACATTCTCTTAGCTTTTTTTAAATAACCACCTCTTCCCCATGAAGAGTACTGTAACTTATCACGGAGCTTCCAGATAGTCATGTGAATAGAATTTTATTGTATAAATATAGGATTAAAGACAAATCTTTTCAGGAAAAAAAAAAACAAACTTTTTTTTGTTTGTTTGTTTTAAGTAGAAGCTCAAGGAATTGTTCTCGAAACTTTTGGCAGTAAAATATTTGTAAAGAAAATACAATGCAAGAGAAGTGCAAAAATATGCTACATACATGCACACAAATTACTGTAGATGATTAAACTTACCGCATTAGCCAGGTGAAGATTTATCAACTGCCAGTGTGTAACATCCTTTGTACATACAATTAAGTCAAATTTTCAAACAACTACTTGCCTAACTGTGTATTAGGCTCAGCAGCAGAGAGAGTGTTTTCTCTTTTAAAGCGTCCTTACTGAATGCTGATATAGGGAACTAGTTTTTCTTCTTGTAGATTCGTTTCTAGGGGATTTGTTTATCAGCTCAGACGGAAGTGGCTTCAGGATCAATGCTTGTTTACAAAAGGTAACACGATCCACACATTTTATTAAACTTCATTCCCGTTAGTAATTCTTTTTTCCACTTTTCACATTGATAAAGTTTAGCAAGTGAAATCTCAGTCAAGTATATAATAAGCTGTAAGAACAGGTGAAATGCCTCCACCCCTTGAATATTTGAGTTTGTTGTTTGTCTTGATTCAGTCAGCTGGATCTAACTATGCATTGTTCATCCTTCATGGAAGAATAGTAGTGATATATCCCGTGGTTACGTTATTTACAATCAGATTTTAATTTTAGCAAACATGCTAACTATCTGAATAATTCTGAACACAGGCAGACTGTAGTACATGGACCATCTGAGGGCTCCTCCAAACATCCGTAATTCATTATTTTGTTGTGTTGCAGAACTGACTGGAAACCACCAGAAGGAGCTTAGGCATTCTTTGATTGGTTGAATTTGAAATGAAATTGGGGAAGATAGGGTCTATTTGTAGATAACCTCTGAAGAAGCACCAACCTTCGCAAATGTTCAAATCTATCGTGTAATTAATATGTCTTTTCAAAGGGCTGAATGAACACCTGCAAATGCAAATAACCTTTGCACTGTTTAATGACACTTTGATTTCTTGTAAAGATTTATTCAAAACTTACGCACAAATCAAAATCTTGTTCCTCCAAACTGGTACAAATAACAATCTTTGGTTGATTTCACTTAGCATTGAATCAGACTTTATGGGTTGAAAGAGGATTAGATATGTTCCAAGAGGATGAAAGAAGAAAAAAAACTTGAAGACTTTATTTGTAAGACTGGGACAATATTTATTTCAGTACTCATCTAGTTCTGCTTGTAATAATAAGGAGAGAGACTAAAAAAGAATGTGCTCACCCTGTCCAGTACTCGACAGTATGAATATATTTGCTTTAAGTAGAGGTTTTATGAACATAAAGCTCTATATTTTTTTTTGTGTCCTTATGCTGCTTCTTAAGGTGATATTATGATCAGATGGAGTGGAACAGACTTTGGTACCTAATGAAATATGCAAATATTTGGACATTTTAGGATGTTCAACACCGTGGAAGAGACCTAGTTAAATAGCTGTTGGATGGGGCGGTGAAGCTCTCCAAGAGCTGCAGCCTTAACGGAAGAGGACAGAGGGCCAGCCAAAGGGAGTCATGTCTTGCTGGGTTCGAAGGTCGCCTCTGTGGTGGGGCAAGCTGAGAGTTATGTTCCCTGCTCTTGGCACTCTTTACGCTTATGCACAGTGCATAGGCAGGCTCTTTTCTGAAGTGTACTTTAAAGCTGTTACTATAATTTTTCCCTTGCACCTTCTTATACGTAGATAACTAGGGGACCTCCAGCAAGCACCAGTCCTCAAACTAGTAGAGGGTCTGGGAGCTGCAAGACAAGCCAGGTAGAGTTGATTCTGAGGTCAGATAGTCTACATTGCGTGTTTGGGCATCCTAACGAGGGCCTAAAAACTCTTGAAGTCTTATCCCTTGATCTGTTGGTGCAATTTCTCTAAGAGCATTTCTGTGGTGAGACAATCGGCAAACGTGGCCTCCGCATGGATACTTTTACAAGCCAGGGCTGAGGCAGCCACATCAATTAAAAGTAAGTGGGCAAAAATTACTCATTCTTGCTGGCCAACTTGGGATATCTGATATCCTGTTTTCCATATACTTAGCTATGTATAACTTGTAAGGGGCTCAGAGTACAGATGCTGTTGACATCAGCTGCAGCTGTAAATGCTCAGCTCTCTTTGTAATCAGACCTCGGGTCTCCACTCTAGTACCCAGAGAGGAAGGAACATGCGCTTAGTGACCCCTTGTGAAAAGTTCAGTTTCAATGGCTTAGCCAGAGTCACAAAGAAAGTAGGTAGTAGATGGAGGGATAAAATCCGCTCCTTTAGAGAAATGTGAGAACTCCTTTTTCCCTCCCTATGAACGCCAACCTCAGTCACCTCGTGCTTCTTGGCTTTTGCAGCAAATGAACAACAGTGGCCCAAAGACAGCAATCTCCCGCACTCCTCAGTGCTGATTCATTCCCAGAGCTAGGACAGCCTGTACTTTGAGGAGGGGTGCATGTGTGACTAAGACCTGCTGTCATGCCAGAACTGTATGAAAAGGGGGTGGAGGCAGTGCAGGTTGTGCAACCATCCCTCCGTCGTCTGACCAGGAACCCCTTCTCTCTCCTTCCCTGAAGAGACCAAGTAAGCTGCTAAAGGACATTTGTGTCCTGGTACTTCCTCAGTTCTGGGTGCTTAACTTTGCGACTAAATATTATTTTTTAAAGGCAACAGTCTTCTTTTCCCATCCCAAGTCAAAGAAAAAAGAAGGAAACTTCCTGTTTTGAATTAGAGTGGGGGTCCTGGCTTGCCCAAAAGCTGCAGGCACAGAGCAATTCAGCTGAACTTCTCATGTGTCTGGTCAGAGACACAGTAAGCTTGGGCAGAATTACCTGGAGATTTAGCTGGGGAGACAGTCTGCCATTTTTCAAAGGCTTTACCTTAGCCAAATCTAGGCAGTTTTTCATGGGCCCAGCATCAACTACACAAAAAACATTTTTCTCTTTGCCAATAAAATTTTGCCAGTGACTGGTCCAAAGTGAGAATTTATAAAAGAAGAAATCATTCCCATTCTGTTATTATGGCACACGCAGTACATTTTTCTCTAGACTTGCCCTCAAAAAGACAGAACATTTTGCCTGAGAAGTTTCAAAAACTTCACTTAATGGCAGATACCCATTGTGTGAAATATCTGCCAAATGGTTAAAATCTGGCACACCAAATGGGAACTTAATCATAACAATAGCAAGTGTTGGACAAGTTTAACACTAGGCAGCACTGGCAGTTCTGCCTTTAATAATATGAGATTTTTGTTTAATCAATAGACAGTAATACTTTTACAGAAGTTAGCAAGAAATGCAGTGTATGCTCCTACTTATACACAACGGTTTCTGTACAAAGCATTTTGTTCTTGAACTTCCTCTGGAGCAAATGAAAACATGACTCATAAGAGAAAAACAAAACAGGGCCAAGAATCAAAAAACACTATTCATACAAAAGCTTTCTAAAAAGCCTTGAAAAGGA